TCTCAGCAACTCAGGGAGACTGGAGGAGGCTGAGGAAGGAGGACCTTGAAGGTGGCTTGGGCAAAATAGTGAGATCCTCTTGACAAAAGAGCCAGCAGATGGCATAGTGGTTAAGGCGCTGGATACCCACACGGTTGACTGTGGTTCAAGTCCTTGACCTGGTGACTTGAAACTCATGCCAGTTGCTTGTGGATGTGTGGCCAAAATCCTGAGAGAAGAATGGAGAAGAATGGAGAAGGGATTGCAGCGTAGTCATACTCCCAGGGGATGATTTCTGGCTTTCTGTCTCTCTGTCTCGTGCATGCACTTTATAGCAAAAATCTCTCTCTCTCTCTCTCTCTCTCTCTCTCTCTCTCTCAAAATAAATAAATAAATAAATAAATAAATAAATAAATAAATAAATAAATGAGTGTGGTAAACATGCCTGCCTGGGAGACTGAGGCAGGAAGATTGAGGCATAGTAAAATCCTCTCTTAAAAAGATTTTTCTTTGGGGGAACCATCAGTTCCATAATGGCTATGTTGCTGGACTCCCATGTAGTCAACCACGGTTCAAGTCTCAGACCAAGTGGCTTAAACTCATACTGGGCACATGTGCATGCCCAAGATCCCGAGAGAAGAATGGAGGAGAAGGGATTGTGGCATGGCCATCCCTCTACGGGGTGATTTCTTGCTTTCTGTTTCTCTCTCTCTTTCTGGTGAGTGCACATGCCCTATAGCAAAAGCCTCTCAAAAAATTATTTTTAGAGTGTAGACCTTTCATTCTGTAGGATGCTTCTACTCTGAGTGTAGCCAGTGCTTCCTCATGTTCAGATGTGGGTCATGTGTTCTTGGCAAGGATGTGACAGAGGTGATGCTGTGATCAGCTCTGTCTCATCAGGAGGCGCATGATGTGACGTGTCCTGCTGCTGGTGACATTCACCATGATCTGTTCAACTTGGTGTCTTCAAAAACTTCACCATTTCCCCTTGTGTCATCAATACCTTTCAGAAGATACTTCAGGACTAGGCTAACATCCTGCGTCAAACACCCACCAGCCTTCACATTTGCTGAGGACTCCTGAGTCAGCCCACACTCGGTCAGATGACAGCTTTCCATCTCCACCAGTCCTTATTGGCAGGCATTTGTACCGTAAGGAAGAGTTGCTCCTGGCCCTCATTGATTTATGAAGTTTGTTATTTATATTAGCACAGAGCATGCTTTATTCAACAGGTCGTTATTTATTTTAATGCCTAAATTGTCCCAGATCTGAACAGTGGGAGCCCCTTCCAGAAGAGTTATGTGCCCTTTTGACATTCCTTTCATGCTTTGGGCACTTCCCTACAAGTGGTTTCACTTTGTACAATCCCAACCCCACCTCTGGAATCATTGGTGAGAAGGGTCAACCATAGCCCTGGTCCCTTCTAATAGAGGATAGCATTTAGAAACCAAGATCTTCTGTCCCATTGATATGCCCATTGTTTTCCGTGTCTGAATAGAGAGAGCTATTGTATATATGGTATACAGGTGCATACAAACACACACACAGTTTTTTGAATTACTTAATTTCATTTATTTTTACTATTATGTTTGAATTTCCTATAAGGGTACATGTGCTCACCAGCTAGAGACAGAGAGAAAAAGCTGCCAGGTCCGGGTCTTGAACCATGGTCAGCCATGGAGCAGTCCAGCACCTTAACCACCACACCACCTACTGTTCCTTGCCACAGTTTTTAAAAAATGACTTCACACTTTTTCTTTTTTTAAATTTTAACTTATCATATACATTCAATCACTGTATATCACTGATCTTGTAAAGTGAATTTATCCAACATGAAATATACTTCAGTCCAGTTGAGGATACTATACGCATTCTCACCAACAGGTAATAAACCATTTCTGTGTCCCACAGATGTCCTGCCTCTCTGTTTTTCTCCCTAATATCATTCTCTACACGCTTCCCCTCTTCCACTCTCCTTCCATACCGTCTCCAGTGTCCATGATTTTCAGTGCTTTTATGTCCTCCAATCTTTCAGTCTCTACACACTTATTTTTAATCTAGTCACATAATTCAGGGTTCTTTACAGATTTCTTGCTTCCCATATTTGTAAATCTCTCCTCCAGCAGAGAGAGACCCAACTCCTAGTACCCCATGCACTTGCTCAGTGGTCCTATTACTAAGAGCTCTCCCAGCCATGACACATCCTCCTCGATCCTTTCATCCCTCAACCCTAACTTTTCCAATAGGGTGAGAGGGATAGTTATACATTCTCTAGTCTCATGGCTGGAGAAAAAAGTATTAAGAGGTGGAGACATTTTGGGGACCTTAGTTTGCTAAGGACCCTGCGCAGAGCCCAGCTGGGAGTGTGTGGCCAATGATCCTCCCTCAGATCTCTGGTGGCTCGGGATCCAGCAGCCAGCCGTTCTCCACCGTTGGCTTCCTCGCATGAGGCACTATAAAAAGCACTGTCCCGATTGCCTAGAAGCCTATTTTCTAAGATGAATAAGCTAGGAACGCGTACCGATTCAGCACTTCAGATACCACAGAGACGACTCTTCTAAGCAGTTCTTGTGCCTGCTTCGAATTCGGGTGTAGCTGCAGCTCTTCGCTCGCCCCTGACTGCCATCAGCTGTTGGTGCTGCTCGACATTAACAGACAGGTGTAAACATATTAGGATCCTGGAAAAAGCGGGCTTTAAAAAGAAATCATCGCTTAAGTCTCGGCTCTCTGAAAGACTTCCAGGTAGAAAGAATCATGACCATGATCAAGGAACACGAATGTTCTATTTTGAGAGACTTTATACAATGAGAATCTCAAGCCAGAACGCATTGGTGAGAAGGGACGACCACTGCTGAACTTTTAATTGATAAGGAATTGTGCTGTGTCACAGCGGAAGGACACGGCCCCAGGGGCTGCACTCTCTGATGACTGGGTGCAATCTCCATGCACAACCAGAGAACACACTGTAAACAATAACCCAAACAAAGCTCCCTGGCCTGCTGAGGCTGGGAGTCTTCTGTGACCTGTCATGGCAACCAGAATAAACACTGTTGAGAACTATGTCACCTAACTTTCTTTCTTATACCGAGAGATAACACCCATTCTTTAAGAAAATATCTGTCACATGTTGCTTCCAGATGGGAGGAGAGGGTCTTATACCCACCCTACTAGAGCAGCTAGTAGGCCAGCAGCAGCAATAGGATTGTCACCTGGGAACCTTGTTAGAAACACACATTCTGGGGACCAGCAGATGGCACAGTGGTTACATCGACTCCTATGTGGTTGACCACGGTTGGAGTCCCGTACCTGCACGCTTGAAACTGACGCCAGATGTGTGTGTGTGTATATGCGTGCGCCCAGAGGAGAGTGGCGGAGAATCCCTCCAGGGGGTGATTTTTCGCTTTTTGTCTCTCCAGTGCCTTATAGCAAAAATCTATTAAATAAATAAATAAGCAAGCAAGCAACGTACGTCCAGGTGCCCCAGCCCAGGTCTACCGAATCAGAAAGATCTGACTGGACAGGCAGGGCCATCCGTGTAAGTTTTAAAACCAGTTGGCAGCCACCATCCCACACTTCGGAGAGACCGCAATACGAAACAGCCGTCACTTTGGCGCTAGGACGGGTCATAGGGAGCTAGGTCAGTCCCTCCAGCAAATGGGGGGCTTGTTTACGGGTGACACGTCCATTTCGCAGTATTTAAGGCACAGGAAGTTGTTCCAGTACCCACAGGTCAAGGAGTCGCTTCCCCTTTTTGCCCCCACCTGGGACCGAGTTGCTGACGGGCTAAATTGGAGACCCGGCAGGGGTCGCTGCTGCCCAGAAAGAGAGACCTAGGGAGCGTGGCGAGCGAAGCCCAGAAGCTTTGACATCACACTAAGCTCCTCCTTGCACGCACACAGTATACACACTCACAAACATATACAGACACACACGCACCGCGAACTCCTCTCTGCCCGCTCGCTCCCACGCCCCCAGCCGGCCCCTCCCGCGCAAGTGTGTGCCGGGGCAGCCTCGGGCGAGGCGGGGAGCGGCAGCGCCGACGGCGGGGGCCGGC